GGTAGAGGAAAAAGTCTAAAGAACAATTCAAGATGTTTTTATTTGGAATGATTCTCCCTCAGAGATCCACAGAAAGAGATTAATACTTTCCTAATAGAAACTGCTGGGGTTAGAGAATCACCTTTCCTTGTGCCACAGCCAGAGTGTTGAGAGCTGAACACCATTAACTAAGTTACAGCGTGCATACACTCAGGAAGGCTTCCAGAGACTTGCTGGCAAGACATCCAACTTTGCTAACAGGCCCCGAGCACTCCTCCCAACAGCCCTTTGCAGGCCTGTTGCAGTGATCCAGCCTGACGGCATCACTGAGCTTCCTGCACTGCAGACAGGTATCTAAGCCTCTAGGAAACAGATGCAGTGTCACCATCACGAACGGGCTTTTCGGCCAAGGCAGAGAAAAAGAAACCATTCTTCAGCAGTCAGCAGGCAGACTAGTGTTAGCATTCATAACCTTGTGCTCTTTGCAGCTCTGACCACTGGATAACGCCCACACTAATTAGAAATTGGGATCATTGCTTGTCACCTTACAGAGGGATAACAAAGCAGTTATCCTAACGCGACATCTGACAAAGCTGAGACCAGAGCTCAGGTCTCCAACATGATACGTCTGATTAATTATCCCCTTTGCTGCACTGATGTCCAAGGTCATGCATTTGATTGTTCTGTGTTTAAACAAAGGCAGCACGTTCACCCCACAGCCAGGAACAAAGCTGGGGATTTCTGAGTCCCATCATTACTCTGCTATGTAGCAAATACCGTGCCAGCCATTAGCAAAAAGCATACTTCATTCCTCTTCTGAGGGCTGGTTCACGCAGAGGACAAAAGCTTGCTACTGCTTACCAGACGTTCCTTAACTCAAGTGATGCTGGTTTGTGCTGCAAATTCAAAGCCCATCAACGTGAGCGCTACCAGCAACCTACAGAACAAAAAACACTACGAGAAAACATCTTTCTTGTGTTCCAGAGGGGAAAAAAGTATCTATGAATAAACAAACCAAGAGATTACAAAAATAAAAATCCAGACATTGTTAGGATTGCATTCAGAGAAAATGTCAAGCTACAATGGTCTACACTTTATTCATTAATCTTGAATCATGTGATTTCCCTTGAATCTTACACATGCAATTTTATTTCTGACATACCTTAGCTTTTGCATCCTTAACTGTGTGGTTTTTCATTAGAGTTAAAAACAGCAATAACTACAGTCAGCAAGCCATCACCTAGGCAAGTCCTACCCTTGCAGCTGCAGATGAACAGACTCCTCTGACAGAAGACCTGATGTGCACAGCTGAGGAGATGTGCATAGTCAGTAGGATGGATCAAGACTGGAGGGTAAGGGAGCTCCCTGAAAGGGGAGAAGAGCCAACACCTCAGGATCCAGCACTGGTTCTGTTTCACAGCATGGACTATTCAGAGGCCACAGGGGCTGCTGCAAGTACTGGTCTGATACAGCTTCAGTCACCTCTACACTGCCACAGTGCAAAGAGGCAGAAAAGCAAGAGGACAGCTCCTCTTAGATCAGCACCCAAGTTTACCCATGGGCCTGTGCTGTGCCACCTGCAGTCTTTGAAGACATTTCACACAAGATCATACATTGACTCCTGAGCCAAGTTTTACTGTGTACTTCAATTGAACAATGCTGCAATGGCTTGTGCCACAACCTCTGCCAAAAAAGGCAGGAAATGAAAGAGAAACAGCTATAGGAGCCAGGCACAGCCATAACGTCAAGATGCCTTCTCCAATTCAAATCACATTATTTTGCAATAGACACAAAAAGAAAACAAAAAAATTCTATACTATACTTTGACTGTGGTTTAGACTGAAGTCTAAATTATTCATTCTGAAAAATACCAAGAGGTATTACATTGAAAAATAAGAAAGGAAAAACTCACATTAGCTCAACATTATATACAGCACAGATCTACTCACTTCTTGGCAAAGCCACATTGATTTTCTCCTTCTGTCTGTCAGTGTTTTGTTTTTAAGGACTCCCTGCCACCAAACAATAAATAGAACTGATTAAAGAACAGTCGTCTGTATTTGCATTATAATTATTGCTTGGGACCGATGAGAAAAGCACAAATTCAAAGTCAACTTCAACCAATCACACCAAACCTCAATGAAGTATGAGAAAGTTCACACCTTTTTGGGCTCCAAATCTAAGCAGACCTACACAGGAAAGGGCTTTCTGCAACAGCACCAGCACAGTTTTATTACAAACCAAAAGAGACCGCACAACTTTCCTCATATAAGTCCAATTCTACCCACTACTGCACTTGGGCTGTGTACACAGTCAGTCTTGTCAGTGCTCTAGTCAACTTTGCCTACAGAGCTGTATGCCCTGATAGAAACTATCCCAGCAAAACATAACCTGCAAATATAAATCTTGTTGCTCATTCATTTGCATGTTTAGGACTGGCTTAAAAACAATCCATTTAGCAGATACAGGTCTGTCTGAAGTTCAAGAGAATCAGTTTACATACAGCTTTTGACTGACAAACACTGTTAAAGTATCTTCAGTGCTACACCATACATGCTATAAAATTGAAATGCTTTTATTTCATTAAAAAAATAACCTTTTCACTGCATAGGGAACGTCATCACTTCATGCTTTCATATTTGCACTTTGAAGACGTAAATATTTGTCTTAAGGCACAGCTATATCCTGCACAACAATAAAGGAAAAGCTGCACTTTGACTGCTTAATACTTTTCTTAACTCTCACATTGAACCATCATGCCTCTTCCTATGTTTTCTTCATAGCTGAGGAAAGTGAGCATGCTTGCATACGCAGCTCCTCCTCTTTCAAAGGCGCACAGCTGCAGCTGTAGTAAACAACCACTAGTCAAGAGCTGAGAAGGTCAAAGTCTCAACTGCTGCATCCATCTCAGCTTTTCCAAAATTGAAATTTCCAGTTCAAGAAATTATTTTTTCTGTCTGTTTCTCTTTGTATTTAAGTCCAGAAAGTGCCTCCATCCTTGGAGACATTCAAGGCCAGGCTGGATGTGGCTCTGGGCAGCCTAGTCTAGTGGTTGGCGACCCTGCACATAGTAGGAGGGTTGAAACTATATGGTCACTGTCATGCTTTTCAATCCAGGTCATTCCATGATTCTATGAAAAGGCAAATCACAACTATGTCCCAACACAATAAATCAAGACAACTCTTCAGAAACCAAAAATGAAAAACTTAAAAAAAAAAAAAAAAAAGTATTCCCCCAGCATTATTAGTATGAGATGGTGAATAAGGCATTTATATATTCAACCTGAGTGGAACAAAGACCCGGTCAAAACCAACCTTGTACTGAGCTAATCTGTTACCCAGCACAAAGAACATTCAAGTCTTTGGAAAACGAGCAAGGAGTTGGCCATCCCAAAGAGCTCAGAGATGATGCAGCAGCTTCAAAGATGAAGGCTGCAACACCACAGCACTGGGAAGGTGGAGTCAGCAGGTGCTGCTTACAGAGCAATTAGGCACAGCACACACCCTCCCTTTAGTTGATAAAACTCTCTGGGTGGGTAGATGCGTATCCAAAACCTCAACAGCAGGATGCCTTTCTAAGTGCTAAAACACACACACTGAATTTCACAGGGTTTCAGCAACACGTAAGCGTGGGAAAGTGTACCTCAAGCAAGGTCTCTTACCTGGAAGAGACTTCTTGCCCAAATAGTGTGGTCTGTATTTCTACTTAATTACAGGGGGGGTTCAGCTACGCACTGCATAGGTCTGCAAACTCAAGAACAGAGGGACTATTCCTACTACTGCGGTCCTACCACTGAGCTTTGCAGCCTAAGCCCTCTCCACGGCACAAGAGCTGGTTTGATGCTGCAGTACCTAAATCTCACTTCAGAAGTGAAGCTCAGTTTGCACACACTCAGATCTGGCTAATCCCAAAAGGCAGAGGGCTCCATGGTTATTAGCCAGTCCTGCAATCACCTTAGAAGTTTATTTTTAAAAGTTGCTACAAATTTTCTTCTGGCCTCCCTTAGGCTCTCAGATGCCTTTTCAGCAAAGGCTTTTTTCAAGAGGAACAACGGGTAGGCAGCCTGGAAATACTACTACAAGTAAGTACTGCTAAAGGAAAAGAATAAAATAGAAATTAAAACAAAAACCACCCTCATCTCCCTTTCCCGTTCTTCACACATGTGACACCACTTCATTAGCAGCAGCAGCAACCAAAGAGCACCTCCCAAATCCCCAACTCCCTCCAGCACACAACGCAATCATTCCTCAAATGCCCCGCAGCGCTTCTCCCTGCAGCCAAGCACTGGCGGATGGCAGGGAAAAGATGATTTCTTCCACAGCCCCCTTTAAATGCTACGTACTGCTCCACGAATTGAGAAGCTGAAAGAAGGGGGGGAAAAAAAAGCAAAAAACGGACCACCTCGTCCTCTGGCTACCCCCACCGCCTGGTTCCAGAGATACGGGGGGGCGGGGTGCGAGAGCAGCCCGGGCACTGCGGCCGGCGGCACGGTGATGTCATCCGCCAGGCTCAGCCCGGGGACCCGCAGCGGCCGCCACCGACCGACGGAGCCGGAGACGGTCGGAGCGGGGGGGCCTCGGCGTTCCGCTCGCAGCGCGGCCCGGGGCTCTCCCGTACCTCCCGGTGGGCGACACGGCGGCTTCCAGGCAGTGTTCGCGAGTTGATTACGTCCCGTTAGAAAGGTATTTCCGGGCACCCCCGCAGGAATACCGCGCAGGAGCCCGGCGGCGCGGTGCGCGCAGCCTGACATCATGCACAGAGCGCTGCCCGCGCCCCCCCCGCCCCGATCCCGCACGGAGCGCTCCGCCGCTCCCGCACGTTACGGAGTTGGAGCTCCAGAAAATGGAGCCCAGTGCCCGCGCTACAGAGCGGCCCTGGGAAGTTGCCGCGGTCGCTACCTGCCGGGGCTGGGCAGGATGGAGACGAATGGGAAAAAAATGAAGAGAATATCGTTTGTCGTACGACGGTGGGGGGAAAAAAAAAAAAAAAAAAGCAAAAAAAAAGCGGTTTACTTACTTACCCGGGGGATCGGAGGGGGGGGCTGCCGAAGGCTGACATAAGCCACGGTGGGGGGAGCGAACTTATCCCCGGCACCTCGCACGGACCGAGGCGCACTGAGCCCGGTAGGCGCACACACATCTGCTCCGATTCACAGCGCTGACAGCCGCCGGTTCGGCCCCGAGCAGAGCGGGTGCCACGGCCGCGCGAAGGGCGTGCGGAAGGCAGCGCACCTCCGCCGCACGGCTCTCCCGGGCCGGGCCGGGCACAGCCACGGGTACGCGGCGCCCCGCGCACACAACGGCAACGCAAACGGCTGACAGCGCGGCGCGGACGCACTCCGGAGGGATGAGGGATGTAGGCGGACGGGGTCGCACCGCCGCTCCCCCCGCGCTCTCGGCCGGGCGGGGGAAGCGCCCGGACCCCGCGGCCGCCCCGGACGGAGGTCAGCGGGCGGGGAGACGCAAACGGCCCCGCGCTGCCCCTCGGCAGCCCCCTGCAGCGGCCTCAGCGGGAAAGTTGGGGAAAGTTCGGGCGCGCGGACCCCCGGCCCGGCCGCAGCCCCGGCCCCGCGCAGAGCCCCCTCTCTCCCTCCCTTCTGCTTTCTGTCGGGTTGTTTCGTTGTTGTTTTTTTTTTTCTTAATTATTTCACTTCATCTCGGCGCTGGCCGGGACAGCCGAAAGCCAAATAACGCCGACGTTACGTTTATTCCGGTAAGAAACGGAACGGGCACAGACCTGAGCGGAGCCGCAGAGCCGGAGCGCCGCTTCCTCCCCCCGGCGCGGTGTCCCCGCGCTGCCCGGCCCGGCCCCCTCCGCCGGGGCAGCGCCCCCCGCCCGCCCGCAGGCTCGCCGCCGTCCCCAGAAAATGAATGGGGGCACCCCGGGGAAGCGCGGCGCTCGCCGCCGACTTACCCGCGTCACATGATGAGCCGCGGGCAGGGTGGGCCGGGGGTGGAGGCTCCCGGCGCCGCCTCAGCCGCGCCCGCGCCACAACACCGCGCAACGCCGCGGCCGAGCCCCGCGCGGGGCAGCCGAGCCGCTCCGCTCCGCTCAGACAAAGGCGCCGCGCCGGTCCCCTCTCGCCTCGGCGGGCGCCGGTGTCCTCGCTGGCACGCCGAGCGCCCCCACCGGCCGCCGGGCGGGGAGGGAGGAGAGGGAGGGGCCGCGCCTCCGCCCCGCAGCCGCCCCGGGGCTCGGTGCGCCGCCCGCCCCCGGGGTGGAGACGGGAACGCCCGGCCCGGGGGAGGGGCCGCCGGCGGGGCCCGGGCTGGGGGCCGCGCAGGGCGCGGCGGGCGTCGTGGGGACGGGGGCGCCGAGGGGATGCCCGGGGAGGGAGCCTCGCGAGGCGGTGGGGGAGGAGAGGGGCGCGGGGCGCCGTGGGGAGCCCGGCCGTGGGCGGTGGTCCTTCCTCGCCTCCCGCAGGGTGGCCGCCGGGCCGGGGCGGGGCGGACCCGAGGAGGGAATGGTGGGCGGGGGCCCCGTCCTTGGGGTGGGAGCGCGGGCGGTCACCTGGCGGGGGTGGGGGCCGAGCTGTGCCGACCTTCCTTTGTAATTTTTTTCTTAAATAAACATACTGCAGCTTTTGAGAACTCTGTGAGGGCTGGTTGTCGATTTGTTTGGGATTTTTTTGTTGTTGGATTTTTTTTTTTTCTGTTTGCAGGGAGGTGGGTGTGTAGGGTCACGCCTCTGCAAACCGAGAACTTCCTTTATGGGAAGGTTTTCAGACGCAGGGACTGGGGGTACCGTAGTACGGGGCTCTCGTGGCAGCGCGGAGATGGAGGCAGTCCGGCAGCCTGGAATTAGCGAGAGTCGTTATTGCATGGCTGCGCTGAAGGCGTTACTTTAAAGCACTTAGGAAACAAAAACGCGAATCTTGGGATTTGGTGTCTAAACTTTGAGAAGTAAATGCCTATTTCGTCTCCAGGTCGCTCCAAAAGTAATGCCTCCCATTTATTTCCACAGAAACTCAACCAGTACAAAGAGCACAGCAACACTGTTAGATGAATTCTCAGCTACTAAACACTGTTTTTCAATAATAACAACCATTACCTGTGCATTTTCACCACCGATGAAGAAGATGCCGTGCCCTCCACAAGTGTAGGTGACCCACTGTCACTGTTGGGACTGCTGAGCCACACCACCTCACAGTGCTTGCATCCACTGTTTGGTCTCTATCAGTGTTCAGTAAGCATCAATGAATGTCAATGGGCACCATGTTTTCTGCATGGCAGAATTCAATTACACGCTTTTGCTTGTATGCACTTCCATGTAAGATGCCACGTTGTCAGACTGCCCCTCTGCTGCCATCTGTCACGCGGCAACAGCGTGTAATGGAATACTGTCAGGAAGGTTCAACCTTTACCACCATACCGCCAACATGTGAAGCTGTGGGCCAACATAATGAAATGGGAGGCATTACTATTGGAGTGGCCCTCGTGCATGTTTATACAGCGAGATATTTTGGTGGAAGCGTGCTGGCCCACGTGTATGTGGTGCCCGAACCCTGCAGCCGGCCCCTTGGTCTTTGCTCAGTGCAGAGCCGCTGTGGCTGTTCCCTGCCTTCTCCCTCAGGCTCCTGTTGCTTGAGGGAGGAACAACAGGGCTGGTGTGCCCATAGTCTGTGACCAGCTCTGGCTTGGTGATGATCAGGAGGCCTTCAGCATAAGGAGGCAGGGAAGCCTCCTCAGGTCCTGCTGCCACGCTGGTCCCTGGCCTGCACTCGAGTCAGAGAGTGTAGAAAGCAGAACGTTTGTGATAAGGCCTCAGCGCCTGTCCTCCTCACATTCAAATCCCAGTCTGTAACCTCTCGGGCCTTCATAGCAATTGTTTAGTGAGTAAAGCACAACAGGAATCACTCTGTGGCTGTGAGGTTGGCCTGCCACGCAACCATGTTCGTAACAGCCCGTAGGGTGTGCGTATTTACACAGAGAGCTGGGCCGAGCCCAGGTAAATAACTACTGCTGAATGCTGTGACTTTCAGTACATGAAAACGAATGCTTGCTGTTCTAACCAGTAGTTACGCAGGGAGCCTGAGGAACCAGAACCAGCATCTCTTCCTTTAACCTGAAGTACATCCATGCACAGCTTGGTGTGTTCTGCCCTTACTATGAATGGCACTCGGCCTCCTCTGGGCGTGAGTGTTCTGGGTAAAGCAAGCTTCTTGCTCTTCGTCCCGGTGTGTTATCTCACAAGGTTAAAAAAGGCAGAATAGCAAATAAGAAATGCTAAATCAGACAGAAACAGAAGTCCACCTCGTGCTGTATATAAATATGTCTCTGTGAGCCATAAAGGAGATTAGGTGTGATTTGCTATTATTTTGTCTCTGGTGTAATCTTTTCCTTTGGAGAAGAGGGAGCGCGGAGTTAAAATACAGTCTAATGACCTAAACAGCAGATTTATTGTTACTTCACACATAGTGCCAGCTCCAAAAACTCACTAGAGATTAGGAATGTGATTCCTTCCTTTACAGAAGATTTAACCCAAGTCAAAAGTTAACACTGTAGCACCATGTTTTAAAAGATAAAACGTGCAATCCTGGAAGAAGTAGGCTACTTCAAAACTCCACTGGAAATGTTACCTGGGTAAATTTATAGGTTATATTCAGATTTATCAATAAAAACGCAAGTATTAGCACTTGGAATGGGGAGCAATGATTTCCTAGCCTTGAGCATTCTGCAGAGAAAAACTAGGTTTTACCTACAGAGGTTAAAGGATTAATGAATACTTGGCACATGAAAAATGAATAGCGGTAGCAGGAAGAAGATTGCATGTAGACAGTGTGATAAGGCGCGTAGCAGGGAAACATCACGTTGCACATGTCGCTGTGCTCTGAGAGGCAGATGAAGCTCATTTCCATTCAATCCCAGATAAAATATTTAAAAACGTCAATATATATTTTATCACACTTAAGAAATATTTTATTCATTTATCTAATATATCTAAGGAAATAGTCTAGAAGAGGGGCTGGTGATAGAAGGGTATTCTCTGTGAGCTTCACTGTGTGCTATGCTGGCTGTTTACATGGTCTGCTGCCTGCTATTACCCATATGCATGAATTTGAGGGCCAGTATCTAAAGCTAAAGTGTGTGGCTACACTCATAGGAGAAATGTGTTACATGATTATATATCAATAGATTGATATAGAAACAGGGATATTACGCATTAGTATTTGATATATAACACAGATTTATAGAGAAATGTAGTTCTCAATCACATACTTTTATGGAAAACCTGTCCTACTAAATCACCGTCTTGGCTCGCTTCGCATACCTGAACCCTCTGTTTCCATTCTTGTGCAGCTTAACAAAGCTGAGCTTACACCATCTATTTGGAAGTGTTCTGACTTTAATTTTTAACACAGAAGTGCTTTGAAGGCATGTAGTATTTCCACAAATTTCTCATTTCTCTTTTTTGTCTTTTTTTTCCTCAGAAGAATTTTAATTGTCTATTAATCAATGGGACTTATTTGGATACATTTTTTTTTTTTAAAACAAGAATAATAAATTTGGAAACAGCATCTTTTTTTTTTTTTTTTTTTTTTTTAGATGTCTTGCCATATTCGATTCTAAAAATAGAAAAAATCAGCTGGTGGAACATTTTTGGTTATTTGCTTTTTTGCAGACCCCACAGTTGTGTAGATGAGGTTTTTTTCCATTATCCTTTTCCAGGTCTGCCATGTTGCAAACCAGTACTACACGCTTGCTGTTATTCACTCTTACAACCCCAAATGGTTATTTTCAATCTTCCTGTAGATTTTTTTCCTTTAATGGAGCTTTCTAAATCTAATCAAAAGCAAAGTCCTTTAAAATTTCCATGTCCTGTTCCTCATCCTCTCTTCTCTCCTAGATCTGTTCTCTATGGATACAGATTTCTTCACCATTTTTCCCCAGTAGCCGTTTATTTGCATTTCATTTTAGATTCTAATCCAGCAAAAAGTCAAGAAAATAATATTCTTGAACGCAGTTTAGCAACTTTTATATTTAACTTTGTCTTGGTTCCTGGTTGTTGTTTTTGTTTGTTTGTTTGTTTGTTTGTTGTTTTTGTTTTTGCTTTATTTTGATAATAATAATGAATCAATCATCTTCCAATGGGGAATGGCATCACCAGCAGAGAGCACACTGGAACCTCAGAACAAAAGAAAACAGAAAATCAATAGCATATTTTAACAATGCAAGCCTGAAGTAAATAAAGATGCATCTGAAATAAATCAGTAACGTGCTGAGGTTTGAACTATTTTGTCATTTAAATTAACTCCAGTTATAAAAATACGTATATTTTTAAGTTACCTATTGCTTATTCCATTTCAGCTTGTATTTAATTTTCTAATTCAAATATCAAGTAAAGTTAAAAGGAAAAGAACTCAACCTTATTACCCAAACCAAAAACTAAGTGCTTTTTTATTTGTGATGCATGGCTAGGAAAAAAAAAAAAAAAGCGGTAACAAATTACATGATATATTTTAGAAGACAGATTGTGTTCATTTACTGAACTTGGGGGAACCTTTGGGTTGACAGATAATCAATTCAAATACCTGCAGCTGAGGGATTGTGTTGCTAATTCCTTTCACAAGCCTTCCCTTTTGAATAAAGGCACGTGAATGTTTTTTGCTGAGGAACTGACCACATCAGCAGATACAGCCTTTCTGATAAGGTTGCTGTCTTGCCATCCACCCTGTGATCTTCTGCCAAGTACATCCTCCGTTCCTTGTACACCCACATTGGTTTTAGGCTTAATGTGAATAAATTGTGCTTGCCCCTTTTTCTAAGAGCCGTGATAAAGCCTTAGACTGCAAATTCTTTGGAGTGAGGACTTCAGCTTCTGTTTCTTTCAATCTAGTTATA